TCCCCTCACCACCCCCCGGCTCATGCTCACCCGCCTGCACCCCCCTCTCCCCCTTCCCGCTCCGTTTATCTCCTCATTTTCTCCTTCATTCTCTTTTCTTCCTTGAGTCCAATGACTCACACAAGCCCCGAATCCTTTGCCTGGTGCCGTCTCCTCCCTTCTATTATATTTTTTTCCTTTGCTCTTAACAGCACTTTTCTTTTTCACCCGTGGGGGGAGAGACCAGGGATGTACATTTTTTTCCCTGCTCCCCCCCAACCAGCCACCTACCAGCTCCTGTCTCACCATGAAACCCTTAAAAGTAATAAATAAATAAAACAATGGCTGAGAAAAAGAAAAGGCAGGAAACGAGTGACAGGGAAAAGGAACCAAACCGAAAGAAAGAAGAAGGAGGGGGAAAAAAAAAGTCCTACTCGGGCTATGAAATATTTATTAGCCAGCGCGTGCCGAGCGCGTTAATAAAGCTGCAGCATTTGCATATTTTTTTTCTGTCTGCAAGGAGCGAGGTGTCTGTTTAGGGGGTGAAGGCGAATGAATCTGTGGGGAGCTGGTTTCTCCGGGCCCTGCGTGGGTCGTGGTCCTGCCTGAGGTGACACCAGCCCTCGGGCTGCGGTGTCACCGGCAGCGGGGACCCTGGTGCGGGTCCTGCCGCGGGCAGCACGTGCAGGATGGGTGCAGGATGGGTGCAGGATGGATGGGTGCAGGATGGGTGCAGGATGGGTGCAGGATGGGTGCTGGTGGCTCCGTGACGACCTGGTGCTGGGTTTGGCTTTGGAAAGAGCTTCTCCAAGCTCTGCCCTCGCCGAGGATGTGCTGGGTTTGCTCGTCCTGGTGCTGCGGGTCCTGCAGTCCCCCCGTAGGACCCCGTGCAGGGAGGGGGCTGCAAACCCCTGGTGGTTGCAGCAGCACAGAAGAGGCAGAGGGAGGATTGAGGAGACTTTTGGGTGGTGGTGCTGAGCTCACGTCCAAGGGGCAGGATTTGTCTGGTGTCACCACAACTGTGTGTGTGTGTGTGTGGCAGGATGTGCTTGAGCACATCCTGGCTTGTCCCTGTCTGTCACCAGCTCGACCCCCCCGTGCCTGGGAGTGGGGCAGGTTCAGTATCCCCCTTTTGCCCCACTGTGTCCCTGGCAGAGCCAACCCCCCCCCTGGACACCCCTGCCCAGGGCTCTCAAACCTCTTTGAGCTGGGACTCAGTGGGACAGGGGGGTGGCTGCTGGGGACATCCCACTGGGTTTCTTTCTCCTCTGGTGCTTGTGAGGTTGAGATGGGGGCTCTGCCCTTTCTCCAGAGATTGTCCACCCCCCCCATCACCTGCCCCACTCCCCATCCTTTTGCCCTTGAGTCCTCACTCCCGGAGGAGCAACGTCCTCTGTCACAGCCCCCCCAGGCAGGGATGGGTGGCCAGGCCAGGTCTCACCTTGCTGCCCCCGGGTTCCTCCCAGCTCCACCAGCAGCCTGGAGCCAGCCCAGATGTGCCCAGCAGCAGGTTAATTCATTCCCCTGGCACCGAGGAGTCATCACCACCTCGTGGGGACTTTAATTAGCCCTTCATTACCAGGAGCACGTTCATCCCGGGGCACAGGGATGATCACACAGACACGCCGAGGGGCAGGGGTGCCACCACGAAGGCACAAACGAAAAGCCACCTCGTGTCACGCGTGAGTGTGTCACGGTGCATGTAGAATCATAGAATCATTGAGGTTGGAAGAGACCTTTGGGATCATCGAGTCCAACCATCTCCCCTCCTCTTCAAAGTCCGTCCCTACACCATGTCCCTCAGCACTGCATCTAAACGGCCCTTCAACACAGCCAGGGATGGGGACTCCACCCCCTCCCTGGGCAGCCTCTTCCAACGCCCGACCACTCTTTTTGGTGAAAAATTCCTTCCTAATGTTCAATCTAAACCTCCCCTGTTGGAGCTTGTGTGCTCACGGGGATGTGCAGGACAAATGGAGGCACTGGGTGCACAACTGGCGAGGCGTGCACGCACAAGCAACCCACAAGCATTTGTTGCGTTCACCCGCACGCCTGCCAGGTGGGCACCGGGCATCTCGGTGCCCCTGCGGGTGCAGGCGTGGGCACACAGGGACGGGCATAAGTGTGCCCCGTGCCCAGGTGTGGTGGCTGGGATGTGCGTTGCACGCCTGGGTGTTGCCGGGGTCCCTCCCCGCAGCCCAGCAGAGCCCCACTGCGTCACCGCCTCACCCTGCCACCGCATTAGCACCCGCGCGGCGCCGGCGAGATAAATGGGAGCTGTCAGAGGCACCTTGTTTGCTGCTAACCTTTGGAAATGCCACACCGCCCCGGGCTGCGCCGCGCCGGGGGGAGCGGGCCCACGGGGATTGTCGCTCACCACCTCCAATTAATCTCCTTGCACTAACGAAGGCGGCGGGGTGACAGGGGGAGAGACCGGCTTGACCCCGCGCCCATGGGGAGACCCCCCCACACACCATCAGCAGATCAGAGCCTGCTCTGCCACCGACCCCCACCGAGGAGGGGGACGGGGTGGATGTGGGGACAAGCCCTTTGGTGAGGGTTGTCCCAAAACAGGCAGGGGCTGCTTTGCCTTCAGATGGTACCCATCGGCCATGGCCTTGTTCTGGGGGTGCCGGGAGCTCCTCACAGCCCACGTTGGGGCAACCAGTTCCCCCTGCCCTCCCCGTGCTCATCCTCTCCCCTCCACCAAGGTGACCGTGGGTCTCGGGGGAGCAGCTGCCGGCGCTTGGCCCTGCCAGCAAATGGGATGTGAGTGGCCATCACCGTTGGGCCTGACAAGCCAAATTGATGCCGGCACCGAGAGCCTTCCTAGTCCCTCTGCAGCCACCCCCAGCCCTTCCCTCATCCTTGCCTGGCTCCTTGCACACACACGGGTGCCTGCGGACACCCGGCAGCTGTGCACACACACACACACCCACACACACCCCCTGGAAAAGTGCACAAGGGGCTTGAGAGCAGCAAAAACCTATTATCGTTGTCTTGGGGTAACGTGTGGATGCAGCAGCTCGTGTGTAACAGGAAAAACCCAGCGTAGCAGATAAACACCAGTCGTACCAGATAAACACCAGTCGTACCAGATAAACACCCAACTGGTGCGTGGCAGCCAGAGCCCGGCCGTGGAGCTGGGCACATCCCTCCCCAGCACAGGGGATAGGTACTGGTGCGGACTGGGAGGGAGGGGAGGAGGGGTCTGCACACCCCCGTGCAGGGCCCCCCATGGACACGCGTGTCCGAGAGGTTCACCTGCACGTGTGTGTGTGTGTGTGTGTGTGTGTGCTGCACCCCCAACCCCGCAGGAGCAGAACCATTAATATTTAAGGCGAGGTGTGAGCGGGACCTGCCCGGAATGCTGACTGGCAGGGGGCAGGGGGGTGACCTTGGCTCCCCTCAGTGCTGTCGTGGAAGGGGCTTGATGTGCCCCCCCCTCCTACCATGTCCCTTTTTTGCAGGCTCCGAGACCCCCGTCCGTCCTCCTGGGGCTGCACCGGGGGCTCTGGGGGGTGAGGGTCTCCCCCACACCCCTGTGTTGGCCGCGGCCCCGGCCTGCGCTGGTGCCGCGATCGATAGCCCTGGCTGTATCGGCAGTCGCTGCCCTGCTCTGCAATTCCCTTTCATCCCCTGCTCCCCCAGCACCTCCCGGGGGGGGGAA